AAAAGGAAACCTTAGAAAGCGTATTGATCTTTATAATTTTGACTGTTTCCTTATTATTTTCTTTTATTCTACATTCTGTAAAGCGTTATCGAGTTATTATTATCCCTGATACATTGTGCATCCTCAGTTTTATTAGAAAGAATACTTATAAAACGCACAAGGAAAATATAAACGAGAAGCGTGGACGTAACGGTGTACATGACTAAAGGACCACGTACACCCAAGAACCTTTGCGATCGTTTCTTTTTTTTAATTATCTCTTCTTGAAAGCTGCAAATTGGTTCAAAATAAAAGATTCAAATACTCGTATGTAAGAAAATCGCGCAAAGTTTCTCGAAAAGAAACCAGTCCAAACACATCTACCAGGGGAGGGGAGGGGAGGGGAAGAGGACGAATGAAATCGACTACAATAACTCAGTTTTTATCTTAAAATTTTTAAATTTATCGAGCTACAATTCATATAAGCAACGTTGACATAAATATGGTGTTTATCTTGGCTTGTCTCGTTCTGCCTGCGTGGGAAAAAGAGATAATGAAATAAGAAAAATGTGAGGTGGAGATGATATCCATTCATCTATTTCAAAATATATGCACATCACTTGATTGTAGTTGAACAATATTCGTACAAACGTCAAACGTACCTCTTCATAAGGCGATGCTCCTTCGAGCCACGAGGGTCTACATCGATCAGTAATAATAGAAAATGTTATTACATGTACCCATCAATGCAAGTTCAATTGCAGTTTCGCTTCGATGCAAAGGCAACACTATCTTTCAAGACGGCGCTTGAAACAGGAATGAAGGCGAAGAGGAAGCAGCGCTTTGGGTACTTCTACGAACGCTTCTCTTCATTTCTTAACAATATTACTGAATACAATCAACTCTCCGTACGGAACCGTAATTTACTGTCCAGGAGCGAGAGTCCGTAGTAGCGAGAGTTACTTTCAGTCGTTTCTCTGTATTTTTCGCCGGGGATTCAGTATTTTACTGTCCGCAATATCGATGTGTCCGTTGTAGCGGGGTGTCCGTAAGACGAGAGTTGACAAAACAGCATTATCATAGTCTTTCAATGAAAAATTTTAATAATAATACAGACAATTTATATACGCGCTTCATCTCTCAATGACTACTAGCTGTGCTGTTCGCGATCGGTTATRYAAGCATTAGCCCGGACTGACCTTTCTTTATAGTCTAGATCTGTGTATCGCATKGACGCTGGTGTCCGGGAACTTCGCATTGTTCTTTTTCTGTCAGTTTTAAGGGGCGGTGAGTCTRCACGAATTCAAAGCAAAATCGTGTTGGTCAGCGTACGTTACCTTTGGTACAAAATCGAATGCGAATGGGAAATTCGTTCAAATCGAATCTTTTACTTACAGTCTTGGGAAAGAATTGACARAGTACTTTCWGACGAGRCAGGCGAGAGTTCGTTGGTGCTGTAGTTRGATTTGAACGCAGACCTAGGATTGAAAGTAAGTAGATTATAGTCGTGATTAATTTTGGAGTATCGACTTYAAAGCTTGGACTAAAGTGATCAGATTTTTAATTGTTATAAAAACAGCTCTCGTCGAAATTTCAAAGGCTTAAGTATAAGGTACCGTCCAACGTTTCAAAATGTATGTTTTGGKCGTCAAGAGKAAAGATAATGCCTCGAGAAYTCGTAACCRMGGATATGCTATCTGAAAGTATCGAATATAGCTRCTGTTTCTCTTACCTCAGAGTGGAAGGTGTTTCTGGGAACTGCAGTCGTCTTTGCTTCGGCTTTGGACTCGCGAGTCTGTCCAAACTCTTTCGGAAAAAAATATACATTTTAGTGTTATAATTAGAACATAATGATTTATAAGGATTGTGATTTGGATGATGAAAAACTTACTTCTGTTAGTCTTATTGACATGKTACTAGCATCAAGACTTTCTTGCTGTAAAAGCAATAATTTCAAACAATTATTCGGACAAATAAATGCAGGGGAGGGGAGGGTGGGCAAATAAAGCCAAGAAAGAGGGATAAGAAAGTAGAAGATCGTTTCTCCTTTAATCCTTTWAGTTACGAATTATTTCACAGCGGTACAATGAGGAAGTATTTTCTTTCTTTTCACTGGAGGGAATTCAAGATTGAACCAGTGTTGTTGCGGCAGTACTGACATGTTGTACGCACAAATTCCTTCCTAGCTGGATGCGTTTAAAGTACGCGTCTAACCTTGTAATCCTCTGCAATGGACCTAGCTCCTTCCAGCTCTTTACGAATACTGCCAACCTTTTCCTTATATCTACCCAATGAAAAAAATACAACAACGGTTTTAACTTTTATATTCGTTGTAGTCTCATTCGCAGGCAGCCTTTCGCTATTCGGGTTTCCTGTGTAACAACGCGAAGTTCACCTTATATATCTATCATGAATTTTATCTCTTTCTTGTTTCTCTCCCTAAAAATGGAACAAAATACATAAACGCTGAATTCTAATAATTCTAATTGAAATACTGAGTTTCGATCGATTCTTTCAAACGCTCACTTTAAATCGATAAACTAAACCTACAATACCTTCAGATCATCAATCTCATCTATGACTTTTTGCTTGTCATCCAAAGCTTCTGTGGTAACATGCAAAGCTCTTGTACTCTGAAACACACGTAAAATCGTAAGAGACCATAAATGGTCAAGGAGGCTTTTTTGTCTCAGATTCACTTACATTTTGCAGATGTTTAGTAAGTTGACGTACTCTATCCTAAAAAATAATGAAAATGATACGAGTCAAGATCGGAAATTGCCAATTAAATCTCTGATAAAAATATTTGAAATAAAAAAAAAATCAAACCAAACCAAACCAAAACTGCGAAACTTGCCTTTAACGTCTTGATATCATCTGTACTCTGTCGGTGTTTACTTTCGAGACCTGTATTTGACAACAAAGTTAAGATGAATGTTAAAAAGACCGTAGAAGAAAAGAAAGTCACGAGAATACACGCTATCCATAGGTAGGACATTTATTAGAGACACACAGACACTGCTAATTAACCTTTTTTCTGTGAAGACATTTGGTCGATAAGTAGCGACTGTTGGTCAAGTTCAGACACAAAGTATTTTCTATCTTCTTCGGCTTTATGAACCAARTCCTGTAAGGATATGAATAAATTAAATAACGAAAAGATGGAAAAATGGATGGATGAATAAATGGAATACTGAATAAACTGATGGGTAGAAGAATTCATGAATAGAGTAAAAAGAGTAAGAGAAGGTACACTGTTAACTGGAAATAGATTCATCCCAATGGAAACAAAAGAATGAGTGAATGGAAGTGAAAATCATTGGAGGAGAAAATGACGTAATATAATACCATAATTCGTCTGTTATTCTGGTCAACCTGCTCCCTCAGACGTCTTTCAGATGATATTCGAACTTTGAGTTCTTCATTTAACCATCGCAGTTTGCCCTGAAAACATGCATAGCATCATCATAAATCATTCATCATTGTAATCATCATTGTAATCATCATCATTGTAGTCATCATCATTGTAATCATCATCATATGATTCTTAACCACATTTAATGAGATCAAATTTACAACTACTCACAATCATTTCCGCGACGCCTTGATGCGAATCATGTCGAATTCCGCCACTTGCTAACAACGTCTGTTTGAGTTTAGAAATCAGAACAGTGATCAGTAAAGAAGGCATGCCATGGCGCAAATACCCACCTTTACACAATAATACTACCAACAAAATAGCAAAATAGCTCAAAATAAGAACGACGAATTCAAAAGGGCACAAAAACGGAAATAGACAACGTACAGGAAGTATAATTTTCCTCATTTTCTTTGCAAGGCAAATGGGAACATTTGTTTGTACTTACAGGGAGAGGAACATCRGACGCCTTGCAAATAAAGTCTACAATCTTATCCAGTTGATCGTCCACTTTCTGCCACCAAGACTAATAAACAACACATAATAATAGTATAATATTATCTTATTGTAATAAATATACTTCATATTGTTAGTTTATTAAGAGTTGTACCTGTTGTTCCTCGGCGGCTTTTTCTAACATGTACTGACTTCGTCGTAGCGTATCCTCAAGTTGAGAAACCCTACATGAGAGTAAATAAAAATAGTTATATTCACCATCACTATCATTAAATAAAACCTAAGACATGTCAATAGGCAGCGTGCAGCGACGCTATTTCGTGCAAGAAAGCATGATGGGAGTTAGCCCTCGCATGTTTTAATGTACACTAAAACAGTCCTCACAAGCCGTTGTTACTTTTTCTCTGTAGAAACAGAAGTAGTTGCGCTGTTTCTACAAAARTATAAAACGGTTTAATGGAGATTTTTAAGGGCCTATAATAAGTGAAATAACTCCCAACATGCTTTCTGATTGTACAAAATGGCGCCGCTCGGCCCATTGCTTGTTGTATAGAGTGACAGCATACACTAACCTTGCCTGGTTCACTTCCATCTTTTCTTTCTGTGAGGTAAATAGAAAGCATTGACCAACTTTTAGAGCGTTTTTCATAACAATATTTGGTACAACAAAAAGACAAGAAAAACGTGCAAAATAAAGACTAATAGTAATATAATAATAATAAAACTTATTTTCAACAAAACCTCTACTTTCATGGCATTTTAAAAACGCAATAAAACGCTTAGTGAACTAATTCAAAACATTTCCAGTATAATTTACCACTGTTTCGTTATCCTCTCGTGCTTGTTCTAGTTTCTTTTGGAGTTTAGTGTTATCCTCGGATGCTCTGGAATAAAAACAGAGACGTTAAAATCAAGAAATGACCGAAAACTGTGTGCGCAAAATGAGGTTTTACTTACGAATTGAAGTCCGAAGTTAAACGTTCAATTTGTTCGTGTTCCTTTGCTTGTCTGTTTCGTAAAGCYTTTGTAGTCGATTTTTCATCCGCTAAWTGAAGCTRAAAGAGTAAATGTTGGACTTAAGTAACGCGTAGCGAGGCGTTTCAAGCCACACCGGTGACTATGGCCCTACAAAACTGTTGCCAAATATATTGACTGTTGTTCTCCGACTTCATATACTTGTAATGATTCTAAAAACACTAAATCGGATGAAATAATAAAAGTAAACAAACCTTCATTTCCTCCAGTTGACTTTCAAGTTGTGATTTTTCCGTGCCGTGTTGATTTTTAGCTTCTTGCAACGCTTTCTCATGGCTTCCCTACAAACAAGTGCAAATATATCAATAAAACATATATCTACAATCATAAGACGAAATATAAACCTACCGCCAGAGATTGTATTTGGTCCTGTAATGTTCGTAACGCCCTTGTGTGTTCCTCTCGTTCCTGACAAAGACAAACAAAGTTAAAAATACATCAAAATAACACTATTAAATTTTTTCTCGTTATTCAGTTTCGATTTCTGGAAAAGAATTTTACAGAAGACACTCTGAGTTTCCTTAATGTGGAAGAAGTTGCCTTACTTGTTGGAGTTGAGCAAACACTGAAGCACTTTCATCTCGTAGTCTTCTTTCTTGTTCTCTAAGCTGTAGAAACTGATCTTCTATCGCCTAATGGAGACATTATTATGATGAGCATTTTTACCAGTGTGGCATTTTGGATGTAAGTCATCGTCATTCGCCATAAACATAACAAAATAAAAACTCGAGACTTTCAAGTCTACTAACCTGCCTCTCAGCTATTTCCTGYTCGACTTTGTTCAAAAGTCGAGCACCTTTCGTTCTCAAATCTTTGATTTCTTTCTGTATAAACCACAACAATCACATTGACGAGTCGTTAGAGATAGTATCATAAAATTCACAAAGAGAATGGCCTTTGCATTATTTTTATGGAAAGGCAAGTCAACTTTARCTGAAAAGTAGAGAAAAGGCACCAACCTTCTGCTCAATAACGAGTGCTTCCAAGTCATTCTGTTGCTCGACTTGTTTTTTCTAAATTGCAAATAATGTGAATAAGTGACTATCGAAGTGCATTTCTGGCTAAAATATACATTATAATTTATTGGTCTAACCTCAAACTTTACAGCATCTTGCTTCCTTTCGAATTGTGCAGCCTGAAGAGCCTTTAAAAATATACAATTAGAAGAACTTTTGAGAACTATACAGGGATTTGATACAGAAATTGTAATTTTTTGTACAATGTGTGCAATTGTTTACAAGTTTCTGCTCTACAGAGCGCGAACACATAACTCTCTCCAAACTAAGAAAGTATTTTGAAAGCGTCGTACATGACGTTCCCTAGTCGTGTGGTCAAAAAAGTTTCGTTTGCAAGAGTTTATGAGTAAAAATGTAAAAAAGAACACGGTACGCTCGAGCCAGTTATGCCATTATAGTTCATTGCTTCAACATACTTCTTCCAGTTTCGATTTTTCCATATCTGTAACGGARGCTTGAGCTTGATGGGCGCGGAGTTCAGCAGCAAGCTAAAAAAAGAATTTTGAATGATTATCAAATATCTGCTCTGTGCGACTCCTGTTCACTGAACGGACATAGTCTTTACATACCTTTTCAACTTGCGTTTTCAGTTCGGACATGTCTCGCTCGTTATTATATCGAACAGCTTGCAGTTCACGAATCTGAAAACAAAAATGGATTATCTTACGGTCGCCATCTTGAATGYGCTTATTATTTTCAAGAAACACTTCTGCGGAATAAATATATTTTGGATGTTTTGAAGCATAAATGTATCAGAGAAAGCTTCTTTATAAAAAAAAATGTGACTTTCTCTTTGAGCATCCTAAAATTCAAGATGGCGACCATGTTTGTAAAAATGATATATCTTTACCTCATTGTTTTTTGCAGCCAGTTCATCGTTGAGTCGCTGTCTCTGGTCCTGAAACAAACGCAAAGATAAAAAGACTCAACGGTAAGGSTTAGGCGAACATGGGCCATCGRAAAGAGTGTCGTTACTTTGCGAAACGARTCGCGGTTTTCAATTCTACATACCATAAGCTCGTCCATATCTCTTCGCGATGTACTAAATGATGGTCCTTTAAAAAGAAAGAAAAAAAATAGTCACCAAAGAAATGAACCCGCCGGTGCTACAACCTTTTCATTTCGTACTGTAAACAAATCTCTTCGACAATAAATATTTAGGCTCAACTTAAACCTCGTACTTTGCGAGTGTCGAATAAAGTAAAAACAATGGACCATTCACGAACTTTTCATCGCATTTTTACTGATTTGAAAGGGGAAATGCGACGGCGACAGCATTGAGCTTACCTCCAACAGAACTAGTGTTTGTAACCACTGTCCGCAAATCTCGTAACTCTCGCTCGAGTTTTTCATTACGAGCCTATAAGGAAAAGTGAGAAAACAAGCGCTAAGCCATGTGGGATAAAAAGACTTGCGCAATGTCAATGCAGTTCCACAGAAAGCTTGCAAGTAGCTTTTCCACGTTATAGTTTAATTTTTTCGATCGTATGGAAGTGGGCTTTAGTCGCGCGAATGGTGAATCAAATTCTAGTTATCCATTGGCTTGTTTCGATGGCTTATAAGATGACAGTCCGTGCTCAACGATTTAGATGTGAAAGCGTGAAACAGACAATGAAGAACTCAGTTGTATTAACTTGATTATCATTCGAGTGTCTTACCATTGCTTCTTTTCCTTGTTCTGCTTCTCGTTCTAGACGTTTGCATTTTGCGCGGTAACTAAAAAGGAAATACAATGACAATYAACTTTAAAATAAAACGATTATATTAGAGGTTAATTTTATGTTTTCATTGTCACAGCAATGACGCGGACGCATCTTTGAGTAATCGTCCTTCATTTTTCTTGACTTCAGGATCAGAATGATTCAATGTTAGGGAGAGAATATCTATAGATTATAAACTTACTCTTTCAATGAATTAAGTGCCTTAGCTTTWAGCTCATTTCTTTTCTTTTCGCTGTCTTTCAGCAGGTTTTCCTTATTTTCAAGTTCTTGATTTAGTTTCTCAAGCTCCGCGCTGCTAACTTTAAARTTTTTATTAACATTATCTAGTTCTTTTGCAAACTGTCTTTTCTCATTCTCGCTTTGGTCGTATTTATTTAACAGGTCTTTCATCTGTTCAATAAGGTGTTCTTGTTGCTCGTCYTTTCTGTCCATATCTTCTCTTAGATTGTCTAACGTCTCCCCTAGTGATGACTTGTCGAACTCTCCTCGACTGATACCTCTCCTTCCATCGTAGCCACCTATCCTGCTGCTATTCAAATCGCGTTCTATTTGATCGATAGTTTGTCGTAATTCACCGACATCGCCTGAACCACCTCGTCTTGGTACACGAACTGGGCCGAGAGATTGTCGACGTGAGGAAGATCCACGAGTTGCCATTGAAACTTGCTTTACTATATCCTCCTTTTCGATCTCGGATTTAGAGAGCTAAAATACAAAAAGTGATTTCATTTTTTTCTACGTTTTCCGAGACATTCTTGGACTTTTTAGGGCACTATTTCATAAGAAAGAGACCAAACCTGATTTCGTAAGACGTCTAGTTGTTCTAGTAGCCTTTCTCTGTCACTTTGCCCTTCATTGACTTCACGACCAAGCGAATCTAAGCGCGACTGAAGTCGTTTTCTTTGAGTCTCGTTGTCTTGTAGCTTCGCCTGGTACTCTTCAAGCTGTTGCGCCAGCTCATTTTTCTCAGACTCGGCACGGTTAAGACGTTGTCTTGTTTCTTCAGCCTGATATAGGAAAGARTATGATACCCCGTTGTTAGCTTTTAAGGCGTGTCCATATATCCCAGATAATAAACAAAAATGCTGCATTTCCTGAATAACTAAACGCTCCTAAAGCGCTTATATGGACACCCTGTAGCAATGCMCAATAGATTTKTGTGACTGACTGAATGGGAATGATCCTTTTTTGGAAGTTCCCTTTGACGTCGTATCAAAAAAAGACATCTTTAGATATGATCTTGCATCGGACGCCATGAAACAAGATTGACACAACTCTTGTAATGAAAAACACCAAGAGCAATTTAGCTACTTACTTGATGGGATAAAACAGATTTTCCTCCTTCAGACTGATCGAGCTTCTTTGCAGCTTCATCAAGTTCCTCTAAAACCTGAAATCCAATCAAACATACAATATTTACAGCCATCAATGATACAACCAGCTTTGATTTGCAGAGTAYRTTKAACGACWGCAGTGTTATTCAAGWAGATACAGTAATGCCATTACCTGCCGTCTCTCTCGTTCCGACTGCTCCAACCTACTCGCGAGGTCATCAACACGGGCGGACAGAATTCTCTTTTCGTAATTYGTTTCTTCCAACGCGCGTCTTTCCACGTCTAACTCACTGGCAAACAAAAGCGACAACTGTGAACTTATTTCAATTGCTGAAGGATTTATATATTGTTTTGGGTTTTCAGAGGTTCATTACAGTGTATCTAGCAATTTATTCCATGGATTGAGTTGATATAATTCGTTCTAGGCTCTTAATAGATAGCACTATGGTAACGTGCAGTTTTATCATATAGGTACGATATGGAAATTAGACGCTCTAAAAGAGCGCTTAGTCGGTCTAATTCAAAGCGCAGTTACAGTTGCAATCAATTGTTTGTAAAGTGCTGTTATGTGTACATGCTCTTTTTTGTACAAATGGAGGCGATCAGGCATGTATTAAGGTAGATTGCAACGCAAGTCAAACACATTAAGTGTCTTATACTCATCATGATAACTGCATTTTACCTGGCAACAGATCGTATTTCTTCTTTGATTTTCTTGTCTGAAGCATTGTCAAGAAGACTCTAAAAGTTTGCAAATTGAAAAAAAAAGAAAAGAAAAGAAAGAAATTATTTAATAAAGAACCAATCTTGACAATGAAATTGTGCTAGAACCACAAATGGCCAAGCTAGACAATTTTTTTTTATTTACCTTTACATTGCGTAGTTCACTTGTCAGGTCACCAACTTCACGCTGTTTTTGCTCCCACATTTCCCGTTCGGCTCTCATCTATAAAACAGAAAAGAGCTTATAAAGTTGCTCACTTGAATCAGATTTCTAGGAAAGTAAGTTACCTCTAATTGGATTTCTTTTAGTCTCTTTTCAATTTCATCTTGTTGCGATTTTTGTGCTGCCTGCAACTGTGTAGAAATGATAACGATTAATTATCAGAAATGACAATTTGTGAAATAATATCTAATCGTTTTCAATGATATCTAWAATAATTGCTAGAGATATAGGAAATAATCCTGGATGACTGGGAATCATGAAMAAATACCTGAGATCTTAGGGTTTCAAGCTCTCCCTCMCGWGCATTAGCAATTCTTTGACTCTCCATTAGAACATCTCTTTCTGCGTCAAGTCCCTGGACAAAAAAGAAAACTCAAATTAACACATAGATGACTCCAAAACACTTCATAGATATATCTCACCCTGACTAACACTTCAGCCTGTCTTCTACTAGCATCTTCTGTTTCTCTCAGTTCTCTTAGTAGTCTTTCTCTGATGTACAATTAACAGTTTTCACAATAAGAACATCATTAAAAACATGGGGTGAAATGAGGCAATGTGCTGTGATACCATTTCATACAACTAAACAAAATGGGAGACTTAGTTCTTGCATTTATGAAAGTCACTCTAGTACATGAAAGAAGTTTTTGAGATTCTTCACAGAAACAGCACAACTACTTTCACATAATATGGCTTTAGTTTTTTTGCAGACAAAAAGAGTAAGAACTTCATAACCATCATGCTGTGGTACAGAAAAGGGCTTTGTTTGGTCATTCCTATTTCAATGTAATTATCATACCGACTTTGGTTCAATACCTTTCTAATAATGCTTCTTCTGGCATTCTTGAGCTGCCATGTCTACTGTGAGCTTTTCTACTGTCTTGATACCTAAATAATGTGAGTTTTTTTGTCAATCAAGCACATCTCGTACCATAAATCATATGTCAAAATTTGTATATTAAATGAACTGAGGGATAGAGATGAGCATGTTTGGAAAAAAACTCATCATTTTGTCTCTGCTTTTAATACCTATCTTCTCTTTCAGAGTCTATTTCACCAGACAGTCTATTTTGTTCGCTTTTGATTTCTCTCATGACATGTTTCAAATCTTCAACCTAGAATAGCATAATAACAATACTTATCAACATTGAGAGAAAAACGGATAGCATCAACTTGTAGAAAAAAATCCTTAAATATCAATATCCTTTATTCATAATGATATTAAAAAAATCTTACATCTGATCTAACATCATCACTGAATCTGACACTACCACGACCTCTGCTTCTTCTTGGCCTGGATTCATCTTCTGACTAAATTAATAAAAAAGTGAGCAAGTTAGTGACTTCAAGATTGTTCCCTTCCATAAAATTTTAAACTAACCTCTTTATAAATATAATTTTATAAGAGGATAACACACACTTACCATGGATGATGAGGGTGTTGCTGGTAAACGTCGTCTTCTCAGAATTCTTTCTCTTCTTAGTAAATCTGCTGATTTTTCTAATTCTCCACGAAGCTACATAAATGAAAAAAGGTGATGATTTTCAGACAGTAACTAGAGCCGTTTATGCTTGAATAATGGCGACAAATCAAGCCTGCTCCATTTACTGCACATTCATACCTTAACAATTTCCTCATCTTGTTCCACATTGATATCTCTATAATGCTCAAGCATCCGATCTGCCGTCGATAACACTTCGCTGGTAGCTTGCAAAGAAGCTGCAAGATCTTCAACTTTATCCGCAACGTGAACGCCTGTACCAGATATCATCCTGTTGATCCTCCTCGCTGCCGTAGGCGATTTTGGTCTAAATGAACTTCCCGGCGTTCCTAAGTGACTGACTCTTAGTGTGCTACGTCTTGGTGGTGGTTGCCTAGTCGTTGGATGTTCACTAGAGCTTCCTCCAGTAGTTGGATCCCAAGGACCTGTACTTGCCATCCATCMACTCACTTGAGATTAAATTACTGGATTTAGAGAACACACAAATATTATAAGTACTGTTTGTAAATCAATAGTTGGTCATTGGTTCATTACACAAGCATAGCGTTTCTTCCAGGGAAAAATTTTTCAATCTTTAACTGTTCTAATATATGGCATTTACGGTCAAAAGTAAAATGTTATTATATGTTTTGGAAAAGTAAAATGGCTTTATTTGTGTATCACAGCTGACAGTGGTAYCAGTTTGGTGTGAAAACTTACTAAAGGTAGGTATATTTTATAATCAAAGATTTCAAAAAAAATCCAGGAGTAACAAAAACAATGTTTGAGTATCTTATGCAAATGAAATGTTGACAATAAACTTCCTGCAGATGTACAATTACATGGAAAATATATTCACAACAAAATAATGAAATACAAAATAATGAAGTGTCATGAAAGCTCACAGGTTGTTTGTAAATGGATTAGATTATGTCTTAGCTAGTATCATATTTCGTTACAGCTGTACCATTTGATTTTTTTATAAAACTCTTCCATTGAAGCCTTCATAATAACTCTCAGATGACCAMAGTACTTCTATAATCAACTATGCTTGATGTACAGGAAATGCAAACAGCGTAAAATAAATCTAAATGTTTTGTAAATAAAAACGTTTTTGACAGTTCAAGTATCATGATCATACCTCGCGTAGAAATGAAATGTTATACTAGGTTTCATATCAAATTAATAWAGACAGCACGCAAACCATACCACATACCATACCCTTCGAGCAATTTTCAAAACTCAGAACCGTTTTTTAATGCATTTTTAATGACAAGAGGAGGTAGGCCGTATTGTTTGCTTAAGACAGTGAACAATTAAAGAATTACAAAACGACGCTGTACTGTCCATGCATTGATATTGTGGATTAGCGAGAGTACGATAAAAAAGAATCGAGAGAATTTTGGSTACACKCGYGCAAATCAAGTTTACTGGATTAGATGTCACAATTTATAATGTTTTTGTGGTTTTTAACATGTTTTTCTCAGTAYTTTCGTGTCACTTGAATGATCAATTCGTAACCCCTTGACTTGTAATTTTTGTTTACATGATCCATGCTATTTTTATCAAACGCTGAAGTTTTTCATGTACTAGAATCATATTTTAATGCTTAAAAATACGGTTGGAATAATAAAACGTAGTGTTTTTCGGCTTTTTTTAAAAAACAAGCGAACAAAAGAATCACAACAAACAGATTTAGAAGACAATAAAATGGTATAAGAAAATACCGTCCCGCTGTCTGCCAGAAAAATAAAGTTCTACTAAAACTGCATCGGGSAAAAGAAACRAAAAATGAGTGCTCTGTTCACAGATGCTAGCAGACAGTWACTTGAATTATATTGAACAAAGTAATTAGAAACAAACTAGAACATCATTGTAAACCAACTGTGTGATGTAAACAACGTTACACGTGCGAAACAATCATTCGAAATCTTGTCACTTCAAGGAGTATGCCTTTGATCATTCATATACTTAGTAGAAAAGACTTTAACACAATAAAGCTAACCTTCAGAATTTCCAATATTCAGGTAGATTKTAAAACACAGACCATARGTTTCGGCATCTCAAATCATCACCRCAAACTCATCCATATTGACATCTCTCGGTGGCGTCTGAACTCTTCGCGRATGTTATCAGAAAAKGAAKTGAGCGATCTGTATTGACCAACTTCAAATCTATAGCTTACCAAGGCTGTGGTACTTGTGAGAGAGTTTAAGCCGACATAAAGACGATATTCAGTATGATCGCTTCGATTAATCTCAGCCGTTACAAAATACACAATGAACTGTTGAACTTGAATTGAACCGCGCTAAAAATTTACATACTTAATTTCATAGTACGCATGACCGAGTCATGTACTGCTGACCTCTTATAACTCGTGGATTGCATGTACATTAAAAACTTAGCGCATTCGCCGCGCATTGGCTATGGGAGTCGCAACATTTTTTTTCTTACAGCGTAACGTCTTTTACAATCAAGCAATTCTTAATAGTACATGCAAAGCCGGTTTTTGTACACATACAGATCATTTGCATRATCCTGCRATTGCCATTTTTCAAAAATTGTCAACTCTTTTTTTTCCATTAAAGCATAATTACTAGACCTTACTATGATTATAGCTATGTTCATAATCTTCAATCAATCACATGAAATACTCTTGGTGATCCAACTTTATTTACAATATTCAACTTTAACTTTGTGTGACAAATAATTCAATGTTGCACTTAAAAAGGGGGGGTAGACCTAAAGTGAATGGATTTGCATGATAACACAATCATACTTCATCTGAATGCTCTCAATTTTGACTGTTACATTAACTATTTATTGATAAAAATGCCATATGAACTTTTGCAAATTTGTGTTATTTTCAAATTCCCCATTTAGCTTCCTTTTTTCAAGGTATAAAGCTGAAATTTTCAGAAGTGTATGGTTTATCATTGTATTCACCCAGACATTGCTTTGATTGACAAGGTCAATTTAGGTCACATGTCATGTCCTGCAAGGGACCTATTACTTGACAAGTGGGCAAAGCATTCTGGTATATRAATATRAAGCGATCATGCATACCACCCACTMTTTCCTATAAAAAAGAAAAATTMATGCAWTYGAAGTCTACCATATTWTTATTAAATTAACAATATGTATGGATAAATTTTAATACAAAAAAACACATTCATGACATGCATCTGAAGTGCACAATGTTGAATATGTGATGTCAACTAAATTCAAATTAATTTTTTAATAACTGACATGTAGTTTTGGGTGACATTAAATTTCTAATTTGATCAGAGACCATCACACTATAATTTAATTATAGCTCCTGTACAAGAATTCTTAAATAATGTTCAATGAGACCTAAGCACTTAATCCATGAAGTACTAAATTTTACAAATTTGTTTGTTTCCTTTTGTCTAATTAACACCTATATAGTAGCAATTAGTAATATTTGTTTCACAGATTAAGTGCATCTACTCTACAAGAATTCTTATTTGTACTGTACAAGAAGTCTAAGATATATTTTGTACTGACGCAATTATTGCTATATCATATCCTTCTTTCAAAACTACCTCGCTATGTTTTACACTTTTGATGCAAACTGATATTCAAAAAAAGTCAGAAACATAATCTATGTAGCTAAATTACCATTACAATCTTATTATATTTTGCAAAACATTCAAATAATTTTTTTCAACTTGGAAATGGTAATATTGACAGGTTATGTGGAAATAAGCYAGCTGAACTTGGAAWTGTGGACAGCTGTTTTAATATTTATTGGGTGCATATCTAGTGAATTGTTAAGTTCCCCAACAAAAATGATACCAGTAGATGAGAAAACAGGCACAAGGTGTGTGCTTAATGTTTATGGTTTTATAAATTGTAATTYACSAATAGACAAWTTTCACGATGAYATCATATACTACGACTRCCAGAATGCTTTGCCTACACTATATTGTAATGTAATCAGTCCCTATTGTTTTACTAATCTACAAAAGGGAACAAAAATCTTAATAACGATGAAAATATACAGAGTATTCTGGTAGTAGTAGTAAAATAATGCCATAATGCATATTTGCCTATTACACTTGTTCTTACATGATATTGCCAAATAAGTTTAGATGTAAATACAATGAGTAATAAATTCAAAATGATCTCTTTTCCAAAGAAAAGTAATTTTCATGTGACATGGACCAGGCCATAAATCCACCATTTCAACTTCCATTGGTCTCAGGGACTACATGTATTTATCAAAATTGACAGACTTTACAGCATTCGATAAGTGAATTTATCTGTCAGCCAAATTTTGAATGTTTCAATAAGAGATATCAAATTTACAAAGCAATAAACTTATCAGAAAAAGTAATTTGTTACCTGTATTCTAAATAGAAGCATACACCTTTCCTTGGGCATCTAATAATTCATGTCTTCATAATACAAAAAAGATGAACTGTTTTCCAAAACAAAATCTGTTCATCTTGCTAATCTCTTGTGCATTTTATCAATGTAATATTTCTTTGACTTTAAGAAAGGTTTATAAGGCAAGATGCTTTAGAAAGCCATGTGCTATCTTCCTGGACTTGCAAACATTCTTATATAATATTCTACTCGACGTTTGAAGGAATCCTTAAAGATATAAACAAATAAACTATCAWTATTAGTGRCTGCATAGCATCATAMTAGAYTCTTTCATTTTATTGYGGRCTTAATACAAAGATTTAAATTCATAACATTTGATAAATTGTCTTTTGATAAATTCAATTTGATAAAAAATAACAATAAATAAAGTAAAAAAAGTTGTACATGTACTGTACCTTATTTTCTTCAAACTGCTGTGATGCTTCAACATTAAGCGGATCATCAAAATTCAATAAATCCTGAAAGAGGATAATATTAATATAATATTATAATATTACATCACAATAATATTATCTGCACACAAATAAAGTTGAACAGCATATGGCTGTACATATTAAGATAACAAATTCTAAAACAAATACACATGTAGCAATGAAGAGAAAAAACTATTCTTTTACTACAAAGTTGTATTTTATCTTGATTGAGACATCCACATTCTGTTAAACTGTGAAAAGGCTGAATTGCCCTGTACTTACTGTAAATAATGAATTTAAGCCCCATACTACATCCTAAAAAGAGATTAATATTGTTAGAAAGAACATCAATAAAACGATAAAAAACTTTAAGTGTCTCTGAGTAAGAGAGTTATAGTTTTTGAGATAAAATAAACATATTGGGACTTTGCAAAATGGTTGTGAGATCAAGAGCATAGTGGCTTTTTGTAATATCAATGTGGCTGCCCAATAAAGGGCAAATGCTTAATAAAACTATTGATACTTACTTTAAGTTTTCTAGTTGGAGCCCATCCTGAACCATCTAGTGTATGTTGCCGTAATAAACTGCACAAACAGAAAAAAATACATATATAATGCATTATTAAAAACACTTTTCACCGCCCACGAAGTCTTCACAGGCTACTAATATACCAAAAGAAAAGATGGGAAATTCTTCCAGGAAAAAACACATTTTCCAATTACATGTTAACTTTTTCAAAAGCTACCATTTTATTAGTTTAACAAGCTGTCTGTAATAATTTTAAGTGATTAAATATACGTCTAAACCAAGTGTTTCTTACCTTAAGCAGACCTCTCCTGTTTCACTAATATTTGGATGCCAAATTTTGGTATTGCAGTTAACAAAAGGAGGCTGTTGGTTACAACAAACACTTGTCTTATAAATCTACACAAAATTTTACGTGCTGCTAATACTACATGTACTTTATCTGTGTGACAGTCCAGCACCTTTTAAATGTTTTTTTCTGGATTACTTACCTGGATATTATATTCTTCAGGGACAACGATATGAAAAATAAATTTTCCATCTTTCCAAAATCCTTCATCTAGAATAAACAGAAAGACAATTTTGTCAGTTAAAGCATTTTTGACTTTTTTTGTCAGAATGTTTTCAAATACTGCACATCAACAAGATAGTTAATATATGTGTAATTATTACTGGAGTTAACATTGCAGTAAGCTGTGCAGACAGACGAGGCAAAACAACTATAGAGACTATAGAGAAAGAGAAAGGYGAGGCAGGGTAGAGTACATGGGTATTCATTAGACAGGAGATYTAGGAAATCTTGGCTATGTGAAAACCCTACATGAATGTACCACAAGGCACGAKGATAAAAAGTMACAGGAGTTAGYAAGCTATGCAGCAAGGTTGYAGAAAAGRAAAAAAATCSTATTTAGAACTACAAASTTTGAAGTCACATAAAAAAATGTAATTGTTTATTTTAGGAAGGTATGCTATATAATCTGTGAATATTTTGTACTGCAAACTTCATCATACATGTATGTGTAACTGAGCTACTTACCAGGAACTACAGTCAAGTGAAAGTCATATAAACGATTGGGATTTTTATAATCAACTTTGCATGTTGCTAAAACAGAAATAAAATAAATGAATAAAAAGTTGATCATGATAGCAATGATGATAATAATATACTTAAAAAAAAATTCAAATCATTTATTAAAATTATTAGTAATTCTGATAAAATTAATAATGTGAGCTTGTAATGTTAGAACACTTGCTCCCAAATAGTGGTCATATGACTGATATCAGGTCATGATTGCAAAGACAAGTATGGTATGAATGATATGTAAGTCACAGAAAATAAATGGCAGATTTCTAGAAAAAAATATTATATAATCTTTCTGGACATATATTTTATCTCAACATCCTCAAACATTTAGCTATAAGAATTTTCAGTAATAATACATGTACTTTCTTAAAATTCGATGATTTGTATGTGATCACTTGCACATAAAGATTATGTACAATATAAGCTTAAGTTAAAATTCACCTGAAAAACGATATCTAATCACTGAAGTGTACAGTACAACATTGAATATCACTACTTTGTTTTTCAAAAAATTCTCTTTTTGTTTATGTTCTATTTATCAACTTTTAAAAGAGTTTTTCTAATGCTTTTTGTAATACGAAAACTGATCAATATCTCTTTGTCGTGTACATCATTCGAAATCATCACCTAAAAATAGCAGCATTTGCATGCTTGACTTTGTGAAATTAACTGAATTGAGCTTTAATCGATAAATTCATAGCAAAACACACAATTTATCTCTAATTAGCACTTACAGGGTAAATACTCTTCCATTTCTTGTGCTTCTGCAAATATTAAACAAGCAAAAGCTTAGTAAAACGCAGACGCAATTTGCCAAATAAACACTCACGCAACTGAAAAGTACCTTT